ATGATAAACTTTCTGTTCTGTTATCATTAACATGACAATTGTTCTTCCTCTGCGTCATGGCTTTTGAATTCTTTTGCTGTGAGTACTCAAAGTCTAATGCTTCTTTCCTTGTGGGAAAATATATATAATTTCTACATGTTAAATATTTAGCTACCCCATAGAGATAAAAAAAAGGAAAAAAAAAGTATTTCACAATATTTACAGACCTTCCAGATTTATTATCTTCAGTAATATAGAAACCCATATGGGACTCTACAAGATGTAGATATTTCTCAACTCTCTCTTCTACTTTTCTCTATAACATGGAAACATAAACAACTTCTCCAACAAAATAATCTCCAAATGCAAACTGACTTAATAAGAAAGAACTTTTTTTTGTCTCTTGTCTTGGGAAATGTCAGACTGCTGTGTGTCCAGTGGCATCAAAATTTGATATAGGATATCTTGAAACCATTTAAAAAGCTTACCTAATTACAGAATTGTTTCCAAAATATCCCCAGAAACTATGATTGATATTTTAAAAATTAATCATTTTTAAAAAATGGACATATGCCAGAAAGATGACAATGACATTTTAAAGAAATATTGTATTTTCATTTACTAGTATTGTTGGAAGAGAAAAGAATACTAGTGTGTATCACAGACCTAAATGTCAAGAAGTCATCAATCAATTGCAGAGAAATTACTCATTTTTGTGGTCTCCTTAATCCTTAGATGTTTGGGCAGTAGAACAAAGACTTCAAAAGGAATAGCAGAAAAGTAATTCCAGTAATTTGGCACAATGAGTGACTGAATCATTGGACTGGGCTGACTTTCTGTGGCTCAAGGAATTTTCCAGATAACATTTTCTCTGAACACAGGTCTATGTGTGTGTTTCTGCTCACTGCACTTCTGTTCACAGGGTATGTCCTTTCATGTTAAAGGTTCCATTCAGATGTTTTTGCCACATTTTATGAAGGTGCCAGAGAGTCTGGGCAACATAACAGAAGCTGTTATACATTAGATCTCTTTTTTATTATTTTTTTTTTATGTCTTAACAGAAACAAAGAGTAAGAGAATGCCTTGGTTATTTTTCATGAACAAGCCAATTTTGATCTCATGGAAGATAACTGTTTTGTAGTGTACGTATTTTTGTCTCATCTTTAAAATATTTTTACAAATAACTAAGAACTTATTGAACATTTATTGTTTTCTCCCAACAGTGTATACTGCGGTTCAGAGCAGGATGCTGTACAATACTGAAGCTTTCCACATGTCATTGTGAATAAAATATTTATATGTGTATAAAATATTTCTTCCTATGGCGAGAATTTACAAAAAGTATATGGATAGAAAATGAACTTATTGGTTGAAAAATAAAGTTAGCAAATTTCATAATAAAATCTGCCTGTCAAATTGAAATTATTATCCTTTACATATAATCAATTTTTAAATACATGAGCACAAACTAGCATTTTTCCATGTAGACTGAACCTCTAAATTTTCAGGATCTTATCATCAGTACAAACCAGATCAGCTTCATTGACCTCCAAGTTTAATAGCATTTTAAATGTATCCCAGTATCTATTCCACTGTCTAGGATGGTTTAAGTACAGCATAGCATTGTTATACCTACATGAACTGGAAGAAACTATAAGCGTTGAGGTGGAATAGTTACCTGCTCCTTAAGGACCTCTATCATTGCAGACATGTTTCCTAAATACTTTTTTTTTGGTCATATTTTTCAAGTTTTTCAAGTTTTTTTCAATTGCAGGATTGGATCTGTTGCATTTAATTAAATGCTGCCCATTGAGGAGCAGTAATACAGAGTATCTGTTTTTTAACTACCTGGTAAGAAATGATCCTTCTACACAGCCCCACTGATCCCATAGGAAGGCAGCAGCCCACCCATATTCACTATTTACACACAATTTAAGATTTTCAATGTGGCATAATCAGGCATTAAACTCCATGAACTGCTCAAACTGTCTAGGAGATAAAAGTTATTCCCTTCTCATTCCCTGTACAAGCACAAATATAGAGGCCTAGTTTAACATTAACTTGCAGATTAGGTTTTGCTTCTTGAAAGAGAAAGAAAAAAGTTGATTTTCTTGCTCTGCAGTAAAAAAAGAAAAGAAAACAAACACACAAACAAAAAGCAGGTGGGAAGCCTTCATTAAAGAAAACCACTGCAATTAATTAATGATCAAAAAGGGCAGTGCTGCCAGCCAAGCTTTTAACATGTAATTTTCTAGTATGTGAATACACTCTAAGATCCTTCCTTTGTGAACCAGAAATTGAGTGCTTAGTAGTGACATGCATCATCCTCCCAGACAATAAGCAGCATGTGGCTTCACAAGCTGGGGGTCACACCAGCTTGTAGTAACTGGATGTCAATTATTTTCCCTGGAAACAATGACTACCAGCAATATTAAGCTCCCAGGCTTTTGTGAGAACACAGAATGTTACCTTGTGAAGGTGTCAGCGATACTGCTTATTGCTACTGCAGATAATGTGTCTGTCTAATGCAGTAGGAACAATGCTTCTGTTCATCTGCCGCGTGTCTAACCTTCTCGGTTTGATCGACGGTCTTGTGTGGGTGGAGGAGCCAGGATTAGTGAATCATTCCTGATTAATTGTGATATCATCAGCAGCAATGTCTTAGGCTTAAAGCATTGGTTAGTGCTTGGTACTGAGAGGAGCAACATTACATAGGTAGGATCACAGGATGCAAATCTGTCTCCACTAAGACTGAGATTTATTGCTATTTCTTAAAGATCAAAGATATGGAGACACTATTTATGAGGTGAATCTAGTGGAGAAAAAAATGTTTTAGAAAAAGTTTTAAATGTTTTTCTACATATTTCTATTATCTCTGTAGTCTAAAAAATATTTTATCAGCCTAGTCCTAATTTTTCAAAAGCTTATGTTTATGAGGAAGCTGAAATGTTTCTATTTCCTTCCTTAATTATTTCCACCATCAAGGATATTTGCTGCACTGATCATTCTAGTTAATGGTGACTAATATATTGAGAGAAGGGATTGCTCTGGACCTTAGGTAATCTGAGTTCCCTTCTAATTTCATATTTTAAATTATACCAGTATTGAAATGCCAGTGGGAAGCAAGCATCTAAGTAGCCACTGAAAATTACTTAGCTTCTTATTACTTATTACTTTGGATAGAAACCTTTTAAGTATTGGTAATGTATTTTCTAGGGTTTTTTTGGTTTGTTTTTTTTTTGTGCTTAGACAGTAAAATCTTTAGAATACTCTGTTTCTTTCCCATCTTTACATATAGGAGAAAGGAATCTCCCATCTCACCTAGGGTAATGCAACAAATACAAAGAAGAAAGTGAGCAAAAATGGAATACTGCAGGATAGATTTGGTCTGCAAGTTTTTTTCAATTTCTACCCACCCCATTATAATCAAAAGAGTTATTTTCAGAGGAGTTTTCAGAACAGACCCAACAAGCTCTGAAACTTGTAATGAAAAAGACAAGTGGTAAACAGATGTTAAAGATGACTCAAGTTTCTGCACTCACTGAACCAGTAAGTAACTTGATTTTGTTGCTCTTTTGATAAGAGCAGGATTTCTGGACCATGCCTGTGTTTAATAAATACATACCTCTGTTTCTTTTTTCAGTTAATGAAAGTAACCTCTAGAGAATAAAACTTTTCCATTGGTAATTAGACCCCTTTTCAATAAACTTTTTGTGATATATAGAAGCTTATAGATAAATGTTTTATATTTGTGATCAGTTTTAATGGATTGTGCCTGTGTTTTCTCTAATTCCTTTCAGAGCAGTTAAACTCAGGAATAACTACTGGGGGCATTATTCTTTTGTAAATCCATTAATATTCCTCACCACCTATCTTTCTATGTTAATGTAATTTTCAGAAGGTTCATAATGTTGGCAATCCCAACATCTCCTAATCATTTTCTATTGCCTAAAATTTACATAGTTTTGCAGAGGAAATGGAGAGATGTGCTTCTGTGCATCAGGTGAATATAAATGCAGTAGTTTTGTTTTAGTAGAAAGTCCACTGAGTTATTAGGTGCTTTCTGCTTAGCTTTGACCAGCATTTGTAATGCCTGGATAAATGTAGACAGGAACAGCACCATTTATTCTACAGAGCAAGCATACTACCTATAATACCGTGATAACACAGATTTCTCTAATTTCTGGTCAATGTTATTCACACTTGAGAGGAAACTTTCCATTCTGTTTTAGGCTGTAGCTTAGATAGATAGATATGATGAAAATATTTCCACTGTCACAATATGATCGTAGAGGCATTTTCATAGTGGACAAATAAAATTAATTAAATTGGTGGTTGTTGCATCAATGATTGCAATCAATTTGCAATGATTTGGATGCAAGGTGACAAAGACGTGAAACTTTCACAAGCCTGTGAGAGAATGTTTGTTAAAAAAGAATCTAGATTCTGGTGCCTTAGCAGGTCTGTGTGTGCATCAGTTATCCATGGAAGGAGGCACTGGCAACATGAACGAGCAGCTGCAGAGCAAAGGTAAACAGGATAAGGAAAACTGTGGAGAAAATCCTTTTTATTTACTGTCCTGGGGTGACTTTATGATACTGGTATCCCAAATCATCTGGTTTATGTTATATATTAAGTTCTGCACCTTTAAGACTGGCTTTGAGAGCAAATGTGGAGGGAAGAAGAAGCTGCAGTTTGTGTTAAGGAAAAACATCACTCCCCCACACCCCGCTCCTGGACTGTGGTGTCTGCAGCATGGACACAGACAGCGGGACAGATCTTCTCTCTGGCTTTTAGTTAGTTTTAGCTAGCTGAGGCAGAGGAGTTCCCTGGACCTTTGTCTTTTTTTCATCCTTTTTTTCTCTTGGATCTGTGCAAGCCTGCTCTGGACTGAACACCCAGCCAAACCCCAGGAGCTCAGGCCTGTGGCCCACCGGGGCCTGGGCTTCGGCACTTTTCCAGTGCCAGAGGGACTGATAAGAAGCACCACATGAAAAAAGACTTTTCTTCCTAGACTTACCATCCCATCGAACAGCAAGAGGTTTTATTATTTAATATTATTCAATTTCTGTTAAATAAACAGCTTTTTCCACTTCTCTCCAAGAATTTTTTTTTTTTTTTTTTCCCAGACCAGTTGGTGAGGAGGGGGCATTTCCCTGGGGAAATCCCCATTTGGAGTTTTCCTCCCTAATTTGCCCTAAACTAGGACATTTACTATCAAAAATTCAGTCCCAGGACAAGACCTGAATTTAGGGAATGATCCAAAACTTGCTGCCTGAACATCATTTTTGGTCATGTTAAATGGTTACTTGAAAGTAACTTAAATAAATAAATAAATAAATGGTGGAAAATATATTTGAACAATTTAAATAAATTCTTATCTCAGTAAATACACCATTTATATTTTTTTTGTAATCTCTACATTATTGTGACACCATTTCTGTAAGAAACAGGATAAAGGGGATTTAAGCACTTGTCTTTACATGCTTCTGAAGGTAGCTCTAAGAAGGCTAGAGAGAAAACTTGTTTTCTTCTACCATAAACTATAACACACTTTTTTAGTCAAGAATAACCTTACCTGGAACTCTGGGCAAAATCTCATGTCATGTTAATTTGCTAAATCAAATCTTCTACTTACAGCTTGCAAAATCAAATATTTTTTTCTTGCAGGTCCCAACTTTTAAAACACTTATAAGTAGGAAACCTCTTCTCCTTTCTCTTCCCCTTCAAGGAGTACTAAACGAGTTTCCAGGTAAAAATCATTTTGTTTTACAAGCTGATAATTTTTTATTCTATATTAGTTCTAATTATGTCTTAAAAACATAAGATTAATTTTGTCCTAATATATTTTATATTTATAAACTGTTACTTTTTACTTTTTTTTCCATTTATCATTACTAGAATTCTTAGTTAAAACTACACATTTATTACACTGCCCCTCAGATTCTAAGGGTTGTTTTGTATCTTTCCATGTATTCAAACACGACAGAAAATAAAGAAAAAACAAACTTGAAAAGTTTAGTGGAAAGTCTTCCAAATTCATAGCAAGAAATTTACAAAATACTTAAAAAGATGTAAAGAACAAATACGAAAATGTTCTAGATTGCCAAATCATGCACACAAGTTTCACACACAGATACACATCTGTTCACTAAAACTATTTAAAAGTAAAGAGAGGAATTTAAGCACACAAGTAAACCAGCTGAATAACATACCTATTTTACACTCATAACTGTGTAGACAAACATGGAGGATGTTCGTATTCAATGCTTCTCTAAGTGTTATAGTACTTTGCTATAAAAGACTTAAAATATCTGGGTTTTTTCCCTAAAAATAAGTAGACAATAACATAGCAGTAACAGGGGCTAACCTTCAAAAATACTTAAAAATATTATTAAAGGATACAACTTTCAAATGATCAGCATGTTAAAGTAAACAATAACAAAAACTGTTTTTCCATGGTCCTATTACATTGGGGCCCTCCCTCCCTCTCTTCCTCTCCCTCCCTCTCTCTCTCTCTCTCTCATTCTCTTGTTCTCCCTCTCTTTCTCTCACAATTGCTTCCCTGTGAGAATATATAAATTCCCTTCTCAAGGGTATATGACTTGCTAGTTTAAAGAATCCTAAGTAAATAATTCTAGGTCAGGAAAGACTATTATCTACTTTATGACAGTAGCTGATAACATTCCTCAAGCAAGAAATATAAAACATACAGTAATGCTTATCCATCTTTCAACATTGTGGCTTAGAAGCTTCTCAAGATATAGATGTTATCCTTTTGTTTAAAACTTTAAACAATTTCTACTTCATTACTGTGTTTAATTGCTCTTTATATTTATTTATAATTTGATGCTAGCTACTTCCTTTAGCTACAAGTCTCTTCCACAGTCTGACTTCAGTGTGGAAAAAGCGTATTTTTTTTGTTTTTAAAGTGCTACATAGTGATTTCTTTGCTTTAATTTTAGTGCTTTCATTATCACAGATATTACACAATCACTTGGTTTCTGCACACCGCATGTGTAGTTATTTTCCCTTCACTGTTTCTTTTAAAAGTTGAGGTCTATTTTTCTTTACTCATGAAAAATGCATCTGTTCCCTCTGTAACTTTTCTGAGTTGTGGGGCCCAAGTTCTCACTCAGCAGTCAATGTAGATTTATTCAATTTGCAATGATGCATAGTGTTTATTTCTCTATTCTTTTTGAATAATTCCTTCATTTTGTCTATTTTTGGGGTTAATGCTGTTCACAATGATTCTTATATCTCTTTCCTATTTAAATTAGATATCTTAAAGCATACCACCCTGTACATATGTTTAGAATTATTTTTCATCATGTATGTAATTTTGAAATTCATTCCTGAATACCATCTACCACTTTATCACTTAATGTCTTGATATCATGGTAATCTCTGTAGCTCTTTAGACCCAGCTCTTTTTATTGTCCTCTGGAATTTTGAATCACCACGAAACTTTGTCATCTTACTAATTACCTCCTTCTACATAATATTTTTCTATATGGTGAACAGCAAAAGTCCAGGCAATCCCTGTGATATGTCTGAAAAGTGATCATTTATTTACTCCTTTCTTCCCAAGAGCTTTATCTTTAAACCCACAATTTCTTACTGTGTGATGTTGTCCAGTTTTCCACTGTTAAAATATGAAATACTTTTGGACACCTGTATAAAACTTTATTGTGTGAAAACTGACTCGGGATGATAACATATGACAGTGGGGAATTATTAATGTTTCTGCCTACCTAAAATATAAATATGTCTAAAAACCATAGTAAATACACAATATTTTTTCTTTGCCTTATGGGGTTTGATGAAATGCTGCAGTCCTGAGCATCTGTCTCCTTGAAAATTCTCTAGCCAGGAGGACACACTCTTGTCTTTACAGGGTAAAAGTTGAATTCTCAATATCTTTGCTGTTGTTTGCTCATATGTTTGTTCTGTTGTTCTTTCTTTTGCTGTCCTTTAAAATTTTCTGTGATCTGGAACTGACCCATTTACAGAAACGAAAATTCCTGTTTAAAGTGCTGCAGAATCCAGAAGGATGAATGCATCATTTTTTCATAGCAATTCTACTGGAAGAAGTCACACAGGATTGCCTCTACTTTTCCTTGAATAGTCAAAAATAACAAAATGTGGTCCTTGTTATAGATCAATCATGGTTAATCTTCTAAACAGCACTTGGGGTCTTATTCCTTCACACTGCATTCAGTATATTACTTATTGCTTATGCTGTGTTTATCTGCATTCTAAATCGTGTTTAATAAGAAAGATTCTTCCATTTCCCCAAAAGGCATTTAATTGAAGTGAAGGTGACCAGCAGGTGCTTTGCATAAAATTTCATTAGCCTCTTAGATTGTTTTTGACACCTTTATGAAAGAATGCTTCATTACCATGCAAATGGTCATTGGCCCTGCTTCCAAGCTAATCACCATATAGCATAACATGCATATCACAATGTTATATTCTGTATGATTTATATGATTGCTTCAGCTAATTTCAGAGTTATAATGGCACACTTAAATAACTGTAGAATGGCAAGCATCTCATATAAGTCATATCCAATTATGCCATTAAGAGTATCCAGTACAATCCAGATAAGAGAAGAACCAAAGAAAATGTATTTGTTTGATACTCTTATCCTTCCTGATAAAGAAAATTATGATTTCTTTGCAGCTTTGAGATGATATGGAAACTCAATACAAGAACAAGTATTAGCTTTCATTTCTTTGGTTATCTCTCATGAATATGAATAAATGAAGGTCTATTTTGCATACAAGTTTGTAGCCCAATAATTTATACAATTTTCAAGAACTAAAATTTTGAAAATATTTGAAAATAAAATTTAAAAAAACACACTTTCTTTTGTTTTGTATTTTTTTCATGTTGCTGACTTCTTTAAATATCAGATTTTAGTCCTCGTTTTTTGCTATAATTTCCAGCTTGTACATTAAGCAATAGAAAATTTCAACTCAATATCCACAGTCTGGTTGGGTTTTTTTTCCACTGCATGCACACATCTTATGTAATATTATAATTATTCTGAATGCTGATCTGAACATAGATTTTGAATATGGATTCAGGTAATTTCAAATAATACATGTTACATTTACAAGGAAATGCCGCAAAAGTAGTGTGATTCTTTACTGAAAACCTTTCCTCTTGGTAGAACTTACTTAAAGAGACTATTTGAAGTTAAAGACTGGAAGTTTTTTGTTTGTTTTTTTTTAATAACTGGCATCCACTTTTTTTTTTCCCAGCAAAGCATGGGAATGTGCATGTTTTTGTGGCTTTTTCTTTTTGTAATTAAAATGCAGCTTGGATTTGCAGGTATCGCATATTAAGACCATTGAATGTTACAATCCTTTTTAGCAAGTACTTAAGTATTAATGCCTGGAAACTGACACTGAAGTTGCATGTAGGCAAAAAAAGCCACAATGACATGATTGTTACCCTTTCCAGCTTTATGGGTGTACATTTACTCACATTTACCTTTCTTTGTAAGAGGACTCTTGGCAGATTCATGGCTATGCATATCCTGGCCCTGCCTTAGTGGCCCAGCAGGGTTTGAAGTGAGAGTAGCAGATTATTAGCATGAAACTAATTGAAAAGTTTCAGTGTTAGCAGTCTTTAAAGGCAGTGTTATCAAGCCTTTAAGCACCTATTAAATTAGCTAGTTGAAAATATTGCTGTCATAACAGTGATTCCTGCAACTACTCCTACTACAAACAATTTCTGACTTCAACAAGCAATGTCACTTTTTCTGAAATTCATATATTGTTATGATAAGAAATGAAATTATATGACTTATTTTGACATATTAATTACTCAATTACTGGCATAAATCTTGCTGTAGATCGTGGAAAAGAAGTCTCAAACCCAAGATTTAAGCTTCTGAATTTTTTGACATCTTAAAAAAATGCATCAAATCTCCAGCCTTTTTTTAATTAAGTTTAAATATTTATGTCTTTGAGTTGTTTACTTACTATAATAGTGAAGACTAGTTAGACAGTATGGAATAAGTGTAATTAATATAAATATCAGTAATACAAATACAACCTGATCTATATGAACTTCATTTTCCTTAATTAATTATTTATAAACTGACACTCTTTTTATACACACACACAATTTTTATTTTTTTACATATTTTTTTCTGAAGAATCACAGCATTGAGATATGGTTAAAAAAGAGGACAGTTTAAAAATTCCACAGTGTGCATCATAAAGCTCCAGCTACTGACCTTTTATATTATTAAGAAATAATATAATTTAAGGCATTTCTGCTCACCCAATGGATAACACAGAATATGAAGAATGAAGTCATTTTTCCTCATAGGTCATTTCAACTTTCTGTACTTCATAGGCAAATCTATAAATTCCATGAAAATATAACTTGGCACTGTCAGACTCCAAATATGTGTTTCTCGTTTTAACATCTTCACCTGTTGAAGGCTACTAAAATATGGTACAGTTCTGTGTGAGTTTCAGTGAAAGATATTGATATATTTCAAGCAGTCTGTTATTCTGCTACTGATTTGTGTTATGTATAATAACACAAATAATAATAACATGTGCCATCCATATGACAGACCATGTTAAATGCATGGTATAATTTGTACAATGTTGGAAAAAGAACCCCTATGTGAAACAATGGATCTGTAGCATGAACTAACTGCAGAAGATAAAAAGATGACTGCAGCACTAGCATAGCAATTTGAATGCCAGCTGGAAGTCTAAAATA